AGGACTGGTGTTTATAATTGTTTTACTGTTATTTTTCTTTATTTCATATATCAAATGGAGTGGATTTTCTCTAATCACTCACTCTGATTTGGAATGTTTCATGATTTTACATAAGCAGGCTGAAAGAGGGCTATCTACAGAGTCGCACTGGGAAAATAAAGCTTAAATAAAGGTGGACAAAAGAAAACCCTCATGGTTCTCTCTCTCTCTCTCTCTCACTCTCTCACTCTCTCTTTCTCAAAGTCTAGTGTTTTGTTTTGAAGCATTCTGTCCGTATGATTCCTTCTGTAGTTTCTATGGCTACCAACTCAGGGACATTGTGTGAAACTATGGCAGCCTAAGCTCCAACACTGGGTTATTTTTTATCTTATAAAACAAGGAAACAAGTGTTTACAGTTTTATTCAGTCTTAGAGGTCCAGTGTTGTTACTGTTGTTTTGCTATTCTATATTAAGTATACCTGACAGTTTGCAAAAGTCAGACAAAGCCCGTCTGCCTCAGTCACTGCTGCTGTGTCAAACTTCCTGTTCAGGCTATCTGGTAGCATCGGTGCCACTTGTGCTAACAGATTGAGGCTAAGCAGCTCTGACACGCCGAGGCATGGAGTCCCTGAAGACCTCTGAAGGTGCCCTGTGGTATGTGGCAAAAAGATGATCCTTTAGTCCAGTAGATTGCAAAGTGGGGCCACCACAGATTGGACTTCTTGTTCCAGCACATCCCACAGATTGAGATCTGGGGAATTTGGAGGAACTCCATCAAGTTCCTCAAACCACTCTTGAAAAATGTATGCAGTGTGGCAAGGCATGTTATTATGTTGAAAGGGCCACTGCCACTGGGCTTTTTACAACAGGTGTGGTCACAAAGCAGCTTTACAGAAAAAAAAATCCAGGTCCGAGCACCCATGAGCGTCGCCAATGGCAACAGTGGCAAGAAAAACTCCCTAAAAGCAAGAGGAAGAAACCTTGAGAGGAACCAAGACTCAAAAGGGGAACCCATTCTCCTCTGGTCGACACCAGATACCAGATAGCAAACCAGTGATTATCATCACTATGCAAGGCTGTACCTGATCCGCACTCCCTCTACTGGCTCATCTAATTTATTTTGGTCTAATTTATTTAGATATATTTTTGTATATGTTTAGTAGTTTTCAGTAGGTTGTGCACTACAATCTTATTTATTTATTTTTTATTTGATTTATTTTTATTTCTTATTTTTATATAATTTATTTAGATCTACATCAATTTATTTTAATTATTTTAATTATTATCGTCTTTTCCTTTTTTTATTTGTTTTTCTCTTAAAATATAGTTCTAGTTCAAGGAAATCCACTGTTGTCCAATTTTTTTTTTAAGTTCAATAAATGCATGATGTTTCCAAAGTCAATAAGTAATTATGTTAAATAATCATGATCTCAACATTGGCCAAAATAATCGTGATGAGTTTTTGCAATAATCAAGCAACCCCAGTTACCCAGAGAGAAACCCCAGTACCCTACTGAATTCATCACTGAAGTTCATCCGAAAGCAATGAGCAGACTCACAACCCTGCACTGAGACTGCAACCAATCATTTCTCTGATTCATTCTTTTGAGAAAACAAGACACGATGTCTTCTCAGGGAGGTATAAGCATGATGTGGCACCAGCCCACTGCGACATAAGAACATGACTAAAGAAACACAGAAACTCATCACAGTGTGACATATACAGCATTTGAGACATCATAGGATAAAGCACCATATCAGAACAGCTCACTGTTATCCTGAGAATCCTAAAAAAGACATTTTTTGCCCTTTCAGCAAAAATCAAACCACCTTAGGAGCCACAACATTTTACGTCCATTTTACCATCTTGGCTGTAAATATGTCTCAGCATGCGCTGATGTTCTAGTATAGAATAAAAAATATAAGATAAACAAAAATGCAGACTCACTTTGCTCTGCTTTAAGCTTTAGCTCAGCTATAGCTGCTTTTCTCACATCTCCAGCAGGAAACTTTTCCAAAAGTAGAACAGTTTCTTGCAAAATGTCTCTCAAATGTCTTTTTACGACCTGAAGTTGCTTCTCATTCTCTGGCTTCTTGCATGAGTTTTCCCGTTCCACCTTAAATAGTGCCTGATGTGTCAGAATGTAACTGCTGGACCATTTAAGGTGGAACGGGAAAATTCAAACAAGAAGTTGGCGAAAGAGAAACTGACTTCAGCTTTGCGACTTTTTAGTGTTTGTCAGTTTCTCGTTGCAGATTCAACGTATCAGGAAACCAGCTGGAGTGATTATTAATGCAAATCTCAAATTATTGATGTTCATCTTAAATTGTTCTCTTTGCCTTTTTGTTAGCTACAAGCTAGGCCAGATTCTTATATGTGTTGCCATGTAACCAGCAGTCTGCGTGCCAACCTTCAGGGTTAAAGGTTGGTAAATTAGCAGTTCTACATTAACAACAGCGTTTGTTAAAACTGTGTTGAACGACCAGCAGAGCTTTATTTTACTGCACAAGAGGAATATTTTATGTTTACCTAGGACTCACCATCACGTTATCCAAACCACTGAGATATTATTTTGGGTAACATGATGTTCCAAGACAGTTCATCCAAATGTTTGACTAAATCAAAGTGTAATGTCTGATGGGTTCTAGCTACTAAACTGGAAAAAGGATATTGTACAATACTGGATTGAAGCATTAAAGTAAACTGCTGCAAAAATCTCAATGTAAATGATAAGGAGTCAGTAAAGCCACAGTGAGAACCACCTCTTATGTCTTCAAACGACTTTACGCCACCTTTTTAGCCCTCATAACTAGCTACTACTTTGAGATTTTTCCTTCATAAACATGTGACATTACAGTGAAATGTAGTGCATGTATTTACTTCCTTGTTACTCCAAATATAAAGCCAGTTACGAGATATTTGACTAAATCCTATAGCTAGAACATGTTCGACATTTCAGTGTAATTTAGCTGAACTGCTTTGGAACTCATATTAACCAGAAAAAAAAAAATCTAGTACCTTGGAGTTTGTACCTGACACTTATCTGGTTAATGATTAGAACTTGGGGGACAGTAAAAGAAAGCATTACTGTAATTTCTAGGCCTCTATAATCAGTAATTAACATCTTATTGTTGCTGATATCGATAACTATTTTTTTGCATTGAAGTAGAATGAGCAGACGACAGATTCAAAATCTAAAGATGGATCTTTCATTGATTTTTCACAGTCGGGAGATAGCTAAATCAAACAAACAGAGTGATTTTAAATGGTGACTATTATTATAAATAAATAAATAAATAAATATATATGTGTATATTATATATATATATATATATATATATATATATATATATATATATATATAAATACTTCACATTACTTAGCTATTCATAACAGTAAGTGAATGCTCAAGACTTTTATTTTAGGTTTTTTTGGTATAGACCTTATATATTACACAAAAAGTGTCTCAAAAATGATGCTAAAAACTGACTAAAAACTTAAAGTAAAAGTTGTGAATTTAATTATTGAATTTAATTTATTTGTGATTTTAAATGTTATTTTTATATATATCTTCACATTACTTAGCTATTCATAACAGTAAGTGAATGCTCAAGACTTTTATTTTGGCTTTTTTTGGTATAGACCTTATATATTGCACAAAAAGTGTCTTGGGACACTTGCTGAATACTATTTATGCCTTGTTCGCGCCTTATTTACCACTCTGCAAGCTCAAGTTGTCACTTATTCATTCATATCCATGAAAAAAAGTCAGAAATAGTGACTAGGTTTACAGAATGAAACTCAAAAATGATGCTAAAAACTGACTAAAAACTTAAAGTAAAAGTAGTGAAACATTATTTCTGTAAACCTACATCTCCATAACGTCTCTCAAACTGCAGCCAGGCCTCCAGTAAGGCTGTACAGACTTACTGATGTGGTTCAGGACACAGTACAACTTGTGAACAATAAAAATGAACAAAACTGCAGGCAGCCAGGCTTTGTATTCAAAAGCACCTCAGGAGTCGGAGTGCTGATGTAGAGTTATCATTTGTTCATTTTTGTTGTTCATAGTAAGTCATACTGTGTCATAAACCACATGTAGAAGTTTGTGTGACCTTACTGAAGACCTGGATGTGGTTTGAGTGGTTTCAGAGAAGTTCTGGTGATGTATTTGTACAGACACTATTTAGGTGACTACTGAGATTTAGGCCCAATCCCATTTATTATTCTTATCCCTACCCCTTGTTTTCATCATGAGTGTCATCCTAACCCCTTTGAACTGACTTACAGGGTAGTGGTTGAAATCTTCCCTCTGAAATGGGACCCTCAAATAAAAAGAGCATTACTTCATTAACAGCTACTAGCGCTGCTCTGTAGGCGACCCTGCCAGTCTGCAGTGACAGCAGAGGAGGGTAAAGTTCAGCTCCTCACTGCTGGGCTTTAGTTACATTTAGGGCATCATATGATCTTCAAAGAGGGGGGCAGTTATTTATCATCACCCACCCCTAATTCTTCAGTGATATGAAGCTGAAGTCAGATATTCGCCACCTTAAATGGAGCAGCAGTTACATTCTGGCGCTTCAGGCGTCAGAACTGCTGGACTATTTAAGGTGGAACGGGCGAGACGAAGGTGAAAAAGGTGAGATGAGCTGCTTTTCCACCGTTTACAGGCTTTAACTTCTGTTCGGCACTGCTGCCATGGTAACGCTGAATGATGGTGCACTCGCCATGGAAAAAGAGCACATGAATTCTGTAATGCTGAATGCTGTAACTTCAATATTGGGCTAACAATAAATAAATTTTACCATTTATTGACAATATAATCAGCCATCAACTTACCGTGCACCCTTACTAACAGACTTCTCGTCTGAGTAACAGAACACTTTCAAGGTGAGAGTTTACTGATATTTTAAGCTGCTAAGTAATCTTATGCACCATGACGAATGTGATCTGCTGCACACGTATCATCACTGACACTCTAGATAATCATAATCATAAACAGCAATATTTTTCACTCACCTGAGCGCTCAACCTCCATGTCCTCAGCTGGTGCTTCCTCCAGTGGAACTCCATCCACCTCCTTGAAGCTGAAGGGTTTTTCTGATGCCACCATCAGCCCTTTCCCCTGAGGCTCCAGCGCAGCATAGTGAGGGACTGACCTGCCCTTCATCAGCCTCCTCTTCCTCACTTCATACTTCTTCTCCTGATCTGGACACATTAAATCATGAACAGAGTTTATTTATGAAAGAATCAGGACCCACTTATAAGAAGGGATGTTCTGACATTACAGGGCAAACATTTGGAAGCAGAGTCTTTCAGAGTGGTTTGACATGAAACGTTTCTAGAGAACACATTCAAGTCAGAATTGTTTACAGTGGTGGTGATAGGAACAAGACAACTTAAGCACACTTTCCTCCTACATCACAAAGTTATTACATGCTATAGTTATGAAATTGCTGCCTGATGTCTCAGACATTGTTAGTTTTGTGAATATTTTGGCCTAAAATGTATTTTTTTTTAATACATTCATGTTGGAGGGGGACGTGCAGAGCATTCTAGGGCAAAATAGATCCTAAAGAAAACTTATTTTGTAGATTTATCCCTATTTTAGCATCATCAACAATCCTCTTAGGCTCTCTGGTGGTTTTGGATAGTATATAAAATGTCTATACGTAGGCTGTAGACATTGTGACTCCTGGTTCCTATCACCCCCACTGTAAAGAAATCTGAGTCGGCAATCGTCTCTACAATGAACTGCTTCATATCAAACCAATCTGAACGACTGTTTATACCTGAATGATTTAATTATTTATAAATTAGTGGAATTTCCATTTAATAGTGCTAGTAAACATGAGGGATGCACAGGTCGTGAATTTTTAGTGCCAATTTCTTAACAGCCAAACTGGCCAATAGCTGATTGTCTGGCCAATTTTAAAACCCGAAACTCACACTATTGGACTAAATGAACACAGGAAGCATGCTAACACGTTTCCAGAACTTTCTTTTAGACAAATTCACAACAAAAATATCATTAGTTGCTCTTTAATGAGCCAAACTGGCATTTTAAACTCTTAAAAGAATAATCAGTTGTCTATTTAAGCAACATGAATCAAATAAAATGCTACACTGAAGAAAGTGGCGACTAGCTATTCTACACAGTGAGCCGTATGTTATAATGCCACAACACTTTTGGCACAGCTGTAGCAGCAGCCTTACAGCACCAGTGCACTTACCAGCCTTTGGACTGTGAACTTGAAAAATGAACAAAGCTGCAGGCATCCAGCTCTGTATTTAAACAACCGGAATCGGTGTGCTGATCTAGAGTCAGTATTTGCTCATTTAGTTTATCATAAATTATAGTTTATACTATATGGGTGACTATTGAGTTCTAGTGTTTGTCAGCAACATTTTCATCGTTGTTCCAGCACTAAACTAAAAAGGAAAAAGACATGCAAACATGTTCTGGTTAATCGACTACATTACTACTAATCTACTACATTACATTTGGCTAGTCGATTACATTAAAAGTGGAAAATCAGTTGCCTATATAAATAACATGAATCGAGTAAAGTTCTACATTGAAGAAAGAGGCGCCCAGATATTCAGTTCTGTGAGTCGTGTATAATTATGCCTTGACTTTTTGGTTCAGGTGTAGCAGCAGCCTCACAGCACAAGCGCACTTACCAGCCGTTACATTATGTACGTCATAAAAATGCAAGCCAGGCTGAATCTCAAATGGCTCCCTACTGTCTATGAAATGCACTATGTAGGTCACAGAACAACCCAAAATAACACATTACATGTGCAATGTAAAGCCATTTATATTTAGCCATAAGTTGCACTGCTCCCTGTCTAACATTTAGAGCACCATTTAGATACAGAAGCCATAGTTTCATGATCGGTGCAGGACACCATACAGGGAGCAAGGAGTCATTTGAGGATCAGCCTCAACCTCTGCAGCGGTAGTGTATACAACTAACTGATTTTTAATTCGCTCCTGCAGAGTTTTATTGCAGCTCTAATCAGATCCAGCTGATTTGCCCATTCAGATGCTTCTGATGGCTTGATGACCTGAATCACTTAGGAGGTTGCACATAATTAAAAAACGATTAATGTAAGGCACTGTAATTAACAAAGACTGCGATGGTTCTTCCCAGCCAATATGTCAGACCATAATGACACTGCAAAAGAGTGGAACAATTTGGAAAAATATGCTTACATATTTTAGTGAACACAGTGCACTTCAACTGGAGAGAGCAGTGGACCTAAAGCATACTATTGATTTACTTGCCCCAGTTTCTCAGTTTCTTGAGGAGCAAAACAAAAGCGGCCAAGCTGCTGGGTCATAAAAAATCAGATTCAACAAGAAACTCATTTCTTGGGCTTGAGTTGAAAGAATGTAGTCACAAAACATCTTGCTTCATAGCTAAGTAAATGCTGTTGCTATTCATAAAGCTCAATTCCAAAAATCTTGAGACAATATGAGAAATGAAATTAAAAACAGAAAGCAGTGATTTCTAAATCCACTTTGATCTGCTTTTAAACAAAAACAGTAAAAAGATAATTAAGTTTTACCTTATCAACTTCTTTGTTTTTGTAAAATATACAGTCATTCTGAAATTGCCTACACCATGTTCCAAAAAAGTTAGGACAATTTAAGAGCTCCTTAAAAATGTAAGTATAACTATCTTTAACAGGTGAGGCCATCATACTTGGGTATACAAGTAGCATCCAGAAAAGGCCAAGGCCTTTATGAACAAGGAGGGTGAGTAAGAAATAATGCAACAGTTTAAAAACAATCCTCACTGAGTGACTAGATTTTACATATTTCATCCTCTACAGTGCATAATGTCATCAAATGATTCAAGGAATTTAGAGAATCTCTGTGTCTGAAGGGCAAGGTCGAAAACCACGGCTTCGACCCCTCAGATGGCACTTCATTGAAAACTGGCAGGTTTCTGTGATGGGTATCACCACATGGACTTTGGATCAACATATTCTGCCTTCTAGACATTAATGCACATTTTAACATGACAACACCAAGAAGCATTCTGCATATTACAGCATGCAGGATGGCAGCATGGCCGAGTAATCAGTGTTAGAATGGCCTGTCTCTATCCTACTGAAAACATGTGGCACATTATAAAGTGCAAAATGTGACAACAAAGGCCCTGTACAGCAGCACAGCTGAAGACTTGCGGAAGAATTGTCACACCAGGATCAATCACCAGTATTGGTGTCTTCAGTTCCCAAAGGTTTAACAGGTGCTGTTGAAAAAAAGGGTGATGCAACACAGTGATACACATGCTGCTGTCACAACTTTTCTGGAACACGGTGCAGGTGTCAAAAAGTTCATAAGCTAAAACATGAACTACTGAGATTTTATACCATTTTCAATTTAATACAGGTCAAACAGAATTTACAAATCACTGCTTTCTTTCCTCTGCTCTCTAAAGTTGATTTAGTGTTATTGATATAACAAATGATAGAAACATTAACACTCTTGAATGGGATCTGCAGTTTTCAGTGATTCACTCTGATTCACTCTTTGTTGATGGATGTCCTGCACATACAGAGGCAGTGAAAACTACATTCAAACACTGTAACGTCCAGGCAAAATGCTATGCCACCTCGAGCCGCTAGGAGGGGCTGGAGTGCCAGGACTGAGTAACTGGGGCTGAGCGGTAGCAACTGTGAGCACCCTACTTAAGGGGTGCTCACATGCTGCTCACCGCTCAGTCTTGAGTTCACGCTGTCACGCGCACATAACCTTGTTATCGGTCTCGAGTTTTGAGTCTTTGCTTTTCTCGAATTGTTCTCCAGCATAAGTATTAAAAAAACATTTGAGTGTGTGACCCTTTTGGATTCAGTTTTGAGGAGCTCTCAGTTTGGGTCATCCTTTTAAGTCATTAGTTAGCACACTCATTATCCCCTTTGGTGGCACACTGCATAGCTCGTTAGTCTGGCAATGCAGTGAGGGTTTGATTCCCTCCATGACCAGTTACTTTTCTTGTATACTGCGTTCCCTCTTTAATTCGTTCCTTGTCTAGTGTTCTCCTAGCTGCATTGCACCTTTCTGCCAACACTCTTGCTCTGCACTTGAGGCCGTCCTTTAGTGTCTGCCAAGTCATTCTTCCCATTCTTCCCCAGCACTCCCCACTACTAACATAAGGGTCGTGAGTTCGATCCTCATTTAAACATCCTGTATAAATTTCTGATGAACCTCATTTGAAGATCTAGCTTGTTTTTACCAAACTATGTTCAGTATAAGGAATTTATTTTCATTAATACAACAGTTAGTTCCGGCCACGCAAGCTGATTGGTTGAGAAGCATTCTAACTGTGCTGTTATTTCACCATAACATCACGTTTTTCACGAACACTGTATCACTCCGCTGAGACGCCGTTGCTAAGCAACGACTTTGACAGCTGTAGGAAACGCTCAAGCCATTTGAAAGTTTTTACTTCTTACTTTGCCACAAACAGAAAATGGACACTTTTAAGATCACATTTGACCGACAGCCGATTTGGTCAGACTCTGAAGACGAGACGACACTAAATTCCCAAACCGTCATCACCACTGAGCAGCTTTTCAGTCGGCAGCTGTGACAGAAGAACAGCTAAACAACCTGGAATCAGCCAGAAATGAACCCAACACCATTCGCCAAACTAAATGGGCTGTAAGATGCTTTACAGACTGGCTGGAACAAAACAACATTAATATTGATCTGGCAAAAATGGACAAAACTGAGCTAAACTTGATATTGCGGCAGTTTTATGGCTCAGTCTGTACTTCAAAAGGCGAGGCTTACAGCAGACTGTGAAGCGAGTGAGCGGAGTTCAGTACTCTGACGTAGCAACAAGCTGCTCGTTAAGGAACTATAATTTGGCGGAAGGAACTCCGAACATTAAAACATATTAAACGCTGCGTTCACAGCCCAGTTTATTTATTTGTTACTTTATTTATTTAACTGTTGTATAAAAGCAATAGAACACTCGAGGTTGTGTGTTATCGTGAATAACATCACAGCTGTGATGATCTACTGCACTCGCCCTTAGCCGTTATTCCGCGATAACACACTCCCTCTCGTGTTCTATTGCTTAAACGATGCAATTCTGATGGAATGTGGAACATTTTAAAACATTTTAAAATAAACACAAATCTGACTAAGAAGGTGAAAATAAAAATTCAGCCTCGCTGTGAATCAAATCATGGTGTGCAAATACCGTCCACAACACACTTTCATACACCGAGACGCTCACCAGCAGAGTTGCCCACAGTAATCCACTGTAGTGACGTGCAGAAGCCGCTGCCTTTGGCATCAGTCGGGTCCTTCTGGATGCGCAACAGCAGAAGGTCGATAGTGTGGACTCCCGCCTGGACGTGGGAGAGGCTGTGTAGGATGGTGAAAGGCTCCCCCAGACACTCACTGAACATCGGCTGTTTCACAGGGGTGAAATGCAGAGCATCAGAATCAGGTCATGAAACTAGAAGCGATATGTGCAAAAATCTGAACACCCCAAGTCAAATTACATGGTTTAAATATGGCATTTTTCTGCTAATTTTATCACACTGTTTCTATTTATTTGCAGAGTTTATCATTTTGGGGACAAAAATAAATAAATAAAAAATGTGCCATACTTTTTGCACAATCTCAGAAAAACTCAGAAAAAAATATCGAGATGCAAATTGTGCATCATAAAAATGTTGTGAAGTATCATGATATTATATTCATGCCAGACAGACAGGCAGAACCCCAGCAGCAGCATTAGGTATAACTGATCTATCAAATAAGGACATGATTACTCAACTAAAGTTAAAATAAAAAAAAAAAACAAGCATTTAAGTTAAAAAATATATTGCAGTTTTTTTTTATATATTGGATTTTAAAATGTACCTTTGCAATAAATTTAACAAAGATTAAATGATAATGCATATTTATTCATTTGAATTCAGCTTTATCTGAATTTGTAAAGCAACATATGGTTTATTGTTTTGTGTTCTAAAAAATTTAAATATCACTTAATTATGAAAACCATAGATTTATTCAACTACTAATATAACAGTAACATAACAGAAACAACAGTGCACAGGCACTGACAACACGCTGGACGCAGCTGCGCTGAGCTGTAATGCTGAAGCAGAGAGAGCCAGGGTCTCTACAGATCCCTCATTGAAATGCTAAGCCTGGTGAGCAGCGTTTAAGTCACGCCAAATCGATGCGTAATCTCTCGCCTAACAGCAGGGGCACAACTGCAGGGGGCTTTAATGGGTAAATACATTCCAGTAGAAAAAAAATACAGACTTGCATTTACAGAGTTATTTTGTGTATAACCTTGTTTTTTGAAATCACAATTTTAAAGATTTACACAGCTGAATATAAAGGTGTTAAAGGTTCTCCAGCAGTCCATCCCCTAGTCCAGGGGTCAGCAACCCAAATGTTAAGAAGAGCTATTTTGTCAAGTTTCAACAAAAATCAAACCACCTTGGGAGCCACAACACTATGTCCATTTTACTGAAGTAATGTTTTACTATTGTTGCTGTAAATATGTCTCCGTATGTGCTAATGTATTAGTACAGGCTAAAAAATATAATACAAACAGAAACACAGACTTACTTTGCTCTACTTTAAGCTTTAGCTCAGCTATAGCCGCTTTTCTCACATCTCCAGCAGGAAACTTTTCCACAGAAGTGAATAGTTTCTTGTAAAATGTGTCTCAACATATGACTTTTTTACGAAGCTGAAGTCTTGCTTGAACTTTCCTGTTCCACCTTAAATGGTGCCTGAGGTGCCAGAATGTAGCTAACTACGTAGCTAACTGTTGCACCATTTAAGGTGGAAAGGGAAAATTCAAACAAGAAGCTGGCGAACAAGAAGCGACTTCAGCTTCGTGAATTTTTAGTGGTATCAGGAAAATCAAACTGTCGGTGTTCGTCTTAAATCTTTCTCTTTGCCGTTTCTTTAGCTACTAGCTAGGCAAGATAGTACAACTTAGTAAGGAGTGGGAACAAGATGGTTTAGTTGTGGCCAAGATTTAGTAAGGCGTGGGAATGAGATAGTTAAGTTGTGGCCAAGATTTAGTAAGGAGTGGGAATGAGATATTTAAGTCACGGCCACGGTTTATAAGGCATAGAAACAAGACAGTTTAGTCATGGCCATGACTTAGTAAGGAGTGGGATCAAGATAGTTTAATCGTGGCCATTATGTTTATTAAGAATTCATAATAACCATACTGCACTTGTTAGCTGCAGCTTAACACTGCTTATTTTCTACTTTGGCACAAACAAAAACACAAAAACACCTATATGCTGTGACATCACAACCACAACTAACTGGCAGTCTGGCACACCATGTTCAGTGTTCAAGTCACAAGCCAGATAAAGCAGATATGCTGATTTTCTGGACCAAAATAAAACAGGCCTGGATCTTAATTCAAAAATTAATCGCAATTCAAACTGGAGTCCCAACATTGGTTGCTAAAAATTGCAAATAGATATTTCATCCCAATCGTTCAGCCCCACCCCTCAGTAAGCCTTTCAGTCAGCAGTTATGATGAAACACCTAAGACTGGAATCAGCAAGAAACTAACGGAATACAACTCAGTGAGCAAGATGGGCTGTGAAACACTTTACAGACTGACTGGAACAAAACCACATTCAGCTGTTTAAACCAGCTTTGAGCCAAAAGTTTTCAATATGTGCTTTTAACGTTAGTCTGGAAATGAAAACTGTCAAATCCTGAATTTGAGGTGGTGCATATTTACAGTAGTATCATTTGAGTGGGTTTTCTCTTACTTCCCATTTGGTGTGGGAGCTCTCTCCTCTCTTGCTGGTGCGCAGCAGGGTCAGATTTCCCGCCCCGTCCGACAGGGCGGCCCAGGTCGCCGACGTCAGACTGAGAGACGCACACACTCGCTCGCCTGCGCATGAGCTCGGCTCAGGGGTCATCCGGAACATCTCCCGCGGCTTCCCCAGCGCCGTGTCCTGACAACAGCAGAGGAAATTCGGTCATGCTGACAGTAGCAGAACCCTTTCTGGTTCTCTGCAGGAGACGTGGTTGATGTAGAAAATACAATATCACAAAAGACAGAATGTACCAGCAGTGATATATTTAAAGAAACACTATTAAAAACTATGAATACAGTGATTTCTATTAAACACTGCACACACTGTGCTGCTCTACATCCAGTTAAACAGGCTTCTTTCTGCCTTCTTTTTAGTGAGCCGTGCAGTTTGTCAGTGTTTATTTTATATATATATATATATATATATATATATATATATATATATATATATATATATATATATATATATATATATATATATATATTAAACACTGACAAATATATTATAAGATAATAAGATGATAAATTCACTATATAAAATCATTTTAAAGGGCCCATACCCTAGTTTTTGCTTCTATTTTCTCCCTGTGAGGTCCACTTATGTTTGTATTTGTTTATGTACCAAAAACGGTCATAAATCTGTGTGCCTTCATAGCCTGGTATATGTAAATGTGCTGCGTTTTGATTGGCTGTCCTATATTGTGCTTCATTCAAAAAGCGGTCCAGTCTGAAAGCACAAATGGGCAGAACAAAACTGCTGTAGACTGAATAAATGGATATATCTAAATGTACTGGTTTTTATGAAATCCCCAAAACAATGCATTCAAAATGGCCTGTTTTTATAATTCACTCCTTAAACTGTATAAGATGTGAATGATTTAAAGTTTAAAACAACGTTTACTTACTCTATCAAAACTTTTTCATTTCAACAAAGTAAGTAAATTTGGTTTTCCCAGATATGCACCCTTTAAAAATCATATACAGCAGTGTTTCCATCACAGAAAACGACCATTTAAGTGTGTACAGAACCATTCTCTACGTAACCATTGCCCTTATTAAAGAACCCTTGAATAACCACTTTTACTAGTTTATACATTTAGTTAAGTGACCCTTATTAATCCCACAACGGGGAAATTTCACCTCCTCATTTTAACCCATCCGTGCAGTGAAACACAACATACACACTAGCGAACACACACACTAGGGGGCAGTGAGCACACTTGCCCAGAGCGGTGGGCAGCCCTATCCACGGCACCCAGGGAGCAGTTGGGGGTTAGGTGCCTTACTCAAGGGCACCTCAGTCACGTACTGATCAGCTGAGGGGATCGAACCGGTGACCTTTCAAATTTGCATTATATGTAATCAACAATACTGAAGTTATTATTGAATAAATAGCAAAGATAACTGATTCCAAACTTTTGAATGGTAGTGTAGAGTAACATGCTCATCAGTTGATAAATGGGCTTTAAACTGAGCCCCAGTAGTGCTGATCGCTAAGTACACATCCTCTACAGAGAACACCCTTCTGCACATTATAATGTGCAATTACTGCTTATTTGCTCAATTTATCATATTGGAATAAAATATAAAACATTAAATGTGGCCTGTGTAAAAGGCACATGTTTTATTTGATGTTTTTCCAATATGTAAAATTCAGCAAATAAATAGAAACTGTGCACAAGAATTTTCAGAAAAATGTCATATTTCAGGGTGTTCATTGTGGAGGATGTGTTAACTTTTTTCCCCACACAGGAACAAACACATAATTTCCCCGGGGGTGTGTAAACTTTTGCATACAACTGTGAAGGGCCATGAAAGTCTGGGCAGGACAGATTACAGAGCTGTTTTTCTCATGCCAGACAATTGTGCATGTACACTGTGGAACTCGATGATGTACTTTGTGTATTGAAACTGTATTTTTTTTTAATGGTAACATTTATGATTACAGGCTTCCTGCACACAGAATAGCTGCGACACGTGATCCAGACATGAAATCAGAGAAACTCCTAAAATTAGTCATTTAGCACTAAATAAGGAGAAAGCATTAATATTAGGGTTGCACAAAATAAGAATCATAACCACTTAAAAAGAAAAAAAAAAGACAGTTATTTAGATTTGGCTGAAATTTCAAACCAATATTTGATGACATTTATTGCAAAATAACAAGGTGACACTGAGCTACTGCAATAAAATATGTTGATTTTATTTACTTTTCTTGCATTTGTAACTCAAATAGAAGTAAATAGTCTTTCCCTTCAATGCTAAACCATGAGGATCTCATGCAGAAAAAAATGGGCCAAACCCAAAATGGCAAAACGTTAAGCACCTTAACAAACCATTAAACAAACAGATGCAGTAAGTTAGCATCCTTTGATTTCTTTAAATGTTGAAGTTCATAAATGGTAAATCGTGCCTCTAGTCTTGGGGCAAGCTGAGCCAATGGCTCAACTTACCTCAAATAAAATAAAAAGTATATTTACTTAAATATAATTGGGTAAAATATACTCAAGCATGTTATTTTGCAGTGGCATTGCAGAATTTCCACCATGCCAAGAAAACACAAATGCGGAACCAATAGAGACTCAGCTACACTGGAACATCTGAGATGAGCAGCCAATCAAGATCAAGATAAAGATTAAGTGACCATAGTCCCACATTGGGGAAATTTCACCTCCTTATTTTACCCATCTGTGCAGTGAAACACCCACAAACACACTAGTGAACACACACACAGTAGGGGGCAGTGAGCACACTTGCCCGGAGCAGTGGGCAGCCCTATCCACAGCACCCTGGGAGCAGTTGGGGGTTAGGTGCCTTGCTCAAGGGCACTTCAGTCACGTACTGTCAGCTCAGCTGATCAAACCGGCAAACTTCCAGTCACAAGGCTGATCCCCTAACCTCCAGCCCACAGCTGCCCCAGCATCAGAAGGAAAAACTATTCGGTCAGCTGATCAGATTTTTAATGGTAAAAATCATCATCATTGCCAACCACATCGACTTCCACACTGGAAAAAATTAACAGAGAGCCTTTAAAAGTTTCTGCTGGTTGCTGGTGGTGTCCAATAGTAATACACGGTGTTTATGTTTTGCTGATGGGTTGATCTCTAATGGTTTAACAGGTGTTCTGGGGCTGATTCCACATGATTTCCTGATGGGATCTAAATGTGTTCTACAGGCTAATAGTGGTGTCTATTGGTAGCCATTAAGCCATTTAAGTTGAGAAATGGCATTTCTGTTCCTGAGAACTGGATGCAGAATGAGCAAATTTGATTGACTGATTTATCTATTGATTCCTTTTATTGCCACACAACGTGTCTGTTGTAACTGTATCCAGTGCAACAAGATGTAATTCAACTCTGTTGTAACACAATAGCCATAAACATACAATATAACACATATACAGTAAACTGTATACAACACAGCACAAAGTATACTAGATTTAACATAATAGAATCATGAAAAATTGCACAGTAATTTCATCCATGCATTCTGAAAAGCTGGAAATCTTACAGTCAGACTATATTCATACTGCCCAGAGGAGTTCAGTAACCTGACAGCAGTAGGAAGCGGGTTGTCTTTATGGATCTATTGCCCATGTGTCAAACACAAGTCAGGCCCGTGACACAGTCCTACTCGGCCTGCAAATTATTTTAATTTTCTATCCTTATTAGCCCGTTTCACCCTGAGATGCACTACAGTCCCCAGCATGCACTGCAACATAGTGTGCATTCTGACCCCCAACAACAATCTATGGGTCAGTGGTTACACAGAAAGAAAAGATGCCTGGTGACTAGTTCAAGCAAATAGGCAGTTTTTTTTAAAAAGTACCAACTATTTATTTTGTATTTAGTGCCTATTTTGCTGTTGCAGCTTTGGCATATTTTGAATAAACAATGGCCAGTTCAGGTCATGGCAAAATGTTAAGTAAAAATGCATTAAAAACACAGCTGGGCCACGGATTTGCTGAGATTTCTTAATATGGCCCTTTCAGTGGTTGAGTTTGACACCCCTGATCTATAGTGTCTCCCAGAAGGAAGAGTTTGGAAAAAAAAATATTGTGAATTATTTCATTCTTTTTCAGTCACACCTATAAACTATAAATTACATAAACATAACCACTCTTCTTTGAATAACACTACTTTGAGTAACATGAACTAGAGCCGAGATTCAAAATGCATTAAAACACAGCTGGGCCACGGATTTGCTGAGATTTTTTAATATGGTCCTTTTAGTGGTTGAGTTTGACACCCCTGATCTATAGTGACTCCCAGAAGGAAGAGTTTGGGAAAAAAAACTGTGAATTATTTCATTCTTTTTCTTTGAAAACCACTACATTGAGCAATATGAACTAGAGCCGAGATTTTACACAATATTTTTTCTCCTCTCCACATTCTGTAAACGTTTATGCTCCAGCAGATACATTCATGAAAGTAATTAGACATCAGCACCAGCCCACGATTCCCATATCAGTTCTTCCCTAATTAATACAAGGACAAAAACAAAACAAAAACAACATAAATGTCTCCACGGTTTCTTTAATTAAACAACTCAACTTGAAAAACGATCACAGTCCTTGATAACTGTTAATGCTGTGATGATCAAAGCAATTTCATCAGGCAGCCACTGAACCGCAGTCGCCATGGAGTGTGGAGCGCGCTAACGTTATCTCTCTTCCCACCTTTCTGTTCTGTTTTCTCCTCTGACCTCTCAATAGCTGTGATCACAGTGTGATACGCGGTTCACTCTCAGCCGTTCACAGAGCGCAGGCACTCGCTCCGACAGAGAGATAATTAGAACATAATCACAGCAATCATCAAACAATCTCAGAGTAATTTTACACCGCAGAGTGTCAGAGGATCAAAAGACGACGAAGAACAAGAACATCAGTGAACGTCAATGTTATGTTGATGTGAAAAATGTCAAGTTCAGCTGACCAGGTCCATCTCCTGAATTATAAAAACATTAAAAAAATAAGCTGGAAAGCTGCCTGTAAGAAACTGCACTTTAAACAACATGCAGTAAAGACCTTTTCACAATGTGCAAGCAGGCAGGACATAACCTTAAATGAGGCTAAATCAATTTCCCTGTGCTTTACATTTTAAACTTATGTTCATAAGGAATTAAAAAGAGTTGCACAAGATGTGCACCTTCACACATAATCACACAAAATATCTTAAAGGACTGGCTGACGAAACGCAGCAACAGGAAGAGAATCAAGAGTGAAGCTGAAAACTGCCAATGATGTCAATGTTACACAGTGCAGTGCACCGAGCTACAGACAGCCACAAACATGAAGCTTGTGTGCCCTCTAGTGTCGACATAAAGTAACACATCATATGGCAAAATACCAGAGAACTGGTAGAGAGGAGAATCACCACTCTAATGTCTTCTGGGTTTCTCAAACGCTAGAGGGCGCTCCTGAGTGAGTCCAGAGTTAATGGGTTAAGATGGAGCATTTCAGCAAAATCATAGTTTATAAATTTATTTAATGAACAATGAATAACATAAAATATTTTAACTCTGCTGTTTTATTTTTAAGAGCTTTTGAACTCGAGTTATAGGAGTTTAAAACAGCGCCTCATGTGATGATGTCAGTGAGCGCGAACAGCCAATGAGCTGCTCCGCTCGCCAACCAATCAGCACTTAGTAGCAGTAATGCCAGCGTTCTGCTGCCGAAAACCCATTTGCTGTAGAAAAAAGGAAACATACAGGTGAGTTTTCTTTGCTTTCTTAGTGAAATTCGTCCTTCTACTTTTACTCTGTACTACAAAAGAAAGTTCTGGGCGAGTGATTAGAAACTATTTCAACCTTTCGTTTTTAGCCGTTTAGCTCCGTTTACTCCCACTCATTGAGGACTCGCTCACGGGCGCCCTCTGGCGTTCTGCAATCCTGCTTTTGATATAATATGGGAAATAGGAAGAGGCCAGACTCCCCTTAAACCTGCTCTGAAAATAGAACAATCTGAAAAAAGAAATCTGCACTGCAGTGAATGTGCGCCTTTAATGCAGTGACTACTACTGAAAGCTTGAACTTGAATGCGCAAGTCAGAAAACAACTAAACATAACAAAAGTAAGAATGTTTTGTGACAAAAACAAAAAAGTAAACAGAACATTCATTTAGGCTTCATGAAACTTTAACTGGTCTTATGTGACGGTTCGCAAATGGCTTAATGTTATATTTCTTTGTAATTAGTTGGGAACAATTTGGACTGTGTGGGATAGTTGTAATTCTATTTGGATTGTGTGGTTTTATGTAGGGGTCGACCGATTATCGGCCCAACCAATAATCAGAGCCAGTATTTAGCATTTTTTTAGCGTGTTTTGTTATGTTTGCACACATCTGAACACACGGTCACAGACTTATGTAGTCTGGCAAAATGTCCCGTCCACAGCACTACTGGATTGCTTGAAATGTACAACCAACCAGCACTTCTGTAGTCTGTCTCTGTGTCCCGCCCTGTGTTGAGTAAATCCAATCAAACCCGCTTTTCAGTGTTTGAGAGAGACGCAGGAGCAGCGTTTCCACAGTGAGAGGCCGAGACTGATCAACGCAACTGGCAAAAAGCTCAATCGTCCTCTGCAGTAAAATAAAGCTCTGCTGATCGTTCTAACAGTTTTAACAATACATGGACTTAAACGCTGGAGTTAATGTAGCCTACATCTGCTAATCCACTCTTTAACCCCATTTAGATTAGATTATTAGATATAGATTTGCGCGCAAATTGCTGGTCACCATAGCAACACAGACAATAATCTCGCCAAGCTAGTAGCTAACAAAAAAAAACAAAGAGAAAGATTTAAGACGAACATCGATAATTTGGAGACGAATGGACTTATTTGCATTTATAATCACTCCAGCTGGTTTCCTGATACAATTAATCTAAAAAGTCAGTTTCTCGACTTTGGCCTAATAAAAAAAATCAAACGTTGAGAGACATTTTACAAGAAACTGTTCTACTTTTGAGGAAAAGTTTCCTGCCAGAGATGTGAGAAAAGCAGCTGTAGCTGAGCTAAAGTTTAAAGCAGAGCAAAGTGAGTCTGCGTTAGCGTTTATATAATATTTTTTAGCCTGTATTACTACATCAGCACATACTGAGACAGATTTACAGCCAAGATGGTAAAATGGACATAAAGTGTTATGGCTCCCAAGGTGGTTTGATTTTTGCTGAAAGGACAAAATGGCTCTTCTTAACATTTGGGTTGCGACCCCTACCCTAGCCAGAGAAATATGACACACGCGTGCAACTCAAGCCCTGCCCAAAACATCACGTTTGGTGAGAGTGAGATTTGTGTGGGTGGGAGCAACACGCTGTATGGACCCAAACTGCTTCTGTAGTAGATTGAACACATTCACAACGTGTGTGCATATAGCAGAGCTTGAGTAAGGCCAACGCAGACAAGCCTCCAGAAAGCAGTAAATTCTAAACCATAATGTATTGTTTTACATTTAATAACTAAGCTATACACAATTTCTGGTCATTTTCATTTCTTTTCGTGGTCGTTAAAAAGACAGACAGCTGCAGCTCGCTACTTCCAAAGATTCCACTGCTCTGCTTACATTAAACAAGCCGTTACCATCGAATCATGCAGCGCAGAATACATCTGATACACTTAACGGTCCAACTACTGCTTGTTATCGCATAAAATACAAATCAAATAAACATGTTAACATTCATGTTCCCTCACTGTTGTTACAAATTAGTGACAATTTTTACTGCAAGATTGCTCAGATGCTTACTGTAATATAATGTAATAGCCTGTACTGAGACTTTCCCGCTTAAACCCATATACTGAAAAGGCTCCTGATGAGTTCTCAACACTGTCAGTGACTCATACTATGTATTTGTTTTACATAAAGATTGTGTGAATATATTCGTAAAAGTTTCACACTACAAATAAATTATGGTAAATGAATATCGGCCCCAAATATCAGTTATCGGTGTCCTTGATTACTAAAAATCAGTATCAGTATTGGCCCTGAAAAAACTATAGTTAGACAGATAGATGGATGGTGCTCAGTGAGGCTGTCCTGCCAGTGGCTCAGTATACAGTAATGTCCCGGCACAGTGACGAGCTGCTGTACAGTGCGATCACTGTTGGTACAAACAATGTCCTGTACTGTTCCTCACTACAGCAGAGCTGAATGAGTCTGTTGCTGAAGGTGCTCTGCTGTCTGACCAGTAGGTCATGGAGGGGGTGTGATGGTATTGTCCAGGATAGCAATGAGTTTATTCATCATTCATCATCATTCATTATACCAGTCGACACCTAGTTTTATGTAACAAAAACCATCATAATTGAGTTTTAAATGACCAATTTCCAAGCTCTCTTTATTCCTTAAGATTAAGCAGGCTGAATTCCTTAAAATTAAACTCCTTATAACTTCAGTGTGAGCAGGTGGAGCTAAACTGCTGTAGACAGTAGAATAGGCAGATATACAGATTTTTAAATTTTTTTCGTGGCATCACAAAATCAATTAATTCAGAACGGCCTTTTTGCATCTTCACTTCCATATATAGACTTTATGGACTGGGGAGTGAACAGCATAGATCTTTACATACCACATCTATTTTATTTTTCTAGAAATTAGAGAAAATCAGTTTTTCAGGGTATGGGCCCTTTAAGTAATCCAATGTTTTGTGTATGACGTGACACACACCAAATGTCTTCACTTGTCTGCCAACAAGGGTAAGATCAGAGGACACATGGACAAAAGGAGCAAAAAGGTTGCTGAGCTGATGTTTGAGTACATACATGTCTGAACTTACCCGTGTCCTCTACTATACATTTTTGGAGAGGAGAGTGGTTCACAGCACAAAACACACTGCAGTCGCAAAAAGTTTTCACCCGTGCTGGACCTTAAAGTCTGGTGATCCCCTTTTAACTCCATGGTCACAGTAAAACCACTAAATCTAAACAGAACTCAAAAGACTTACCAACGTGACTGTCAGACTGAGCACCCTTCCCTTGCAGTCGACAAAGTAAACACTCTCTTCATACCACGGATCAATGTGGAGGTAATTGTACATGCCGAACGCCTTCATATGGTCCAGAGTGTACTGACTGTCTTTCAGTTTAACCTCCGCCACAGCTAAAAGAAAGAGAGAGAGAGAGAGAGAGAGAGAGAGAGAAAGAGAGAGAGAGAGAGAGAAAGAGAGAGAGAGAGAGAGAGAGAGAAAGAAAGAGAGAGAGAGAGAGAGAGAGAGAGAGAGAGAGAGAAAGAAAGAGAGAGAGAGAGAGAGAGAGAGAGAGAGAGAGAGAGAGAGAGAGAGAGAGAGTAAGGTTTTAAGGGGAATTCCACCTGTTTTTCAAAAATATCTGCATAATTCAATCACTGAGATGTAAACAGAGTCATTCAGATTGGTTTGGTGTGAAATGGTTGATTGTAGAGACCCAGATGTCTTTACAGTGGTGGTGATAGAAACCAGGGGTCGCCATGACTACAACACAAATAGAGACATTTTATTTACCATCCAAAACCACCAGTGAATCTACAGAGATTATTTATGTAATGTAATAATAGTAAAATAGAGCTAATACCAAAGGAAAAAGTTTTCTTTGTGGACTATTTAGCCTTACAACGACCTTCATGTACCTCTCCGCCATGAAGGAATTTCAAATAAAAATTTTGGGCCAAAATCTTTCTTCAAAAGTGTCGTAAGAAAGCAATGTCTCGTTTAATGTGATTTCTGTCACCAACAAACAATTCTGACTCTACATACTTAAAAAAGATGGTTTCCTTAGTAAAGGCAATGGTTCTATTCAGAACCATAAGTTCTACATAGAACCGTTTCATGCTTAAATGGCTCTTTGCATAGTGAAATGGTTATTCAGACTGATGGAGAATGTGTTATATGGGTTCTGTTATTGTATACATGCATGCCACTGTAAAATTAGCAGAACCCTTTTCGGTGCTACACAGAATTATTCTAAAAAAGGTTCCATATTGAACCATAGGCTACAAATTATATTCTCCATCTATCTGAAGAACGATTTCACCGTGCAAAGAGCCATTTGGGCATGCAACGGTTCTATACAGAACTCACGGCTCTCAACAGAACCATTCCCTTTACTAAAAACCCTTGAAGAATCAACTTTTTTTTAAGAGTGTAAATCTCTAGAACAGAGCATTTTACATCAAATCACTCAAAATGACTTTGTCGATATCTTAACAATTTAATTATGCAGAACTTTGGAACAGTTAATGAAATTCTCCTTTAACATAAACATCATAAGGATGTTATGCACAGTTTCAACACCTCTCAATCGAGCTGTGGCTCAGACATCTCAATATTAATATTATATAATATTAATATTAACATTAATGTGTTCATATCAGCAACAGGAGATTGATGGGCACAGCATTTAACATGCACCAAAACAATACAAGCACTAAAAGATGCATACATGAAACAATGTACAGCATTTCCAGCACTACTATCAACTGGAATATATTAGACTACACAAAAAAACATTAGAAAAATAGAAAGGCTGCTTTAATGAACCTTAAATCATAGTGACAGTATAACTGATCACACTAAAACTGCAGATCAGAGCCTCCTCTTCTCACCACAAAGCTGAAGTGTAATATAATTTCCCCGTTCCACTTTAAATGGTGCAGCAGGAATGTCACTGCTGCACTATTTAAGGTGGAACGATTAAACTGGAATAAGAAGCTGGGGAATAGGGAAGCCAACTTGCAGCCTTTCCTCTCACCTGCATCCAGCTCTACATTATAACATGGAATTGAGTCTAAGGAGAGCCTGTAACTCTCAAAGCTGGGGTCCAGCAGCTGCCTGTTCACTTTCAACGAACAGTTCGCGTAAGCCATGTTCCTAAAGACGCAGAGCCTCAATCGCCCGCACAATTCAGACCAGCTACAAGCTGAAAACAAAAGCTAGCTTAGCCAAATCCAGGCTGCCGTTCATCAAGTGGAACTCGTGTTTCCTCCCTCGCGCGAGCCTTCTTCGTAGACGGACCGCTCGCTCGGGCGGAATTCTGGGAAATGCAGTCCATGCGTTGTGCGTCCCGACCAGCGTTCGTGGTATTAAGGTTTGCGAAGGGGCAGCGCAGCTAGTTTTACTTAAAAAGCGTGTTAGATATGATCGGTTTTCCAACAATGATCCTGCATATCATCATAATAAGTTATTCTACAAATCTACATCGCAGTGACTCAGTTTACCATAATGCTTTGCGGCAGCATCGGCACTTAGACACGAAAACTTGCCCTCCGGTTCACTTCGACAGCAGACACTCTGCTGAACTTTGAACAATTTTTATTTAAAGGGGAACTCCACCGATTTTTCAAACAACAACAACAATGATAATAATAATAATAATAATAATAATAATAATAATAATAGAGAAACTTACTGAGAAACTCTACTGAGTCTGAATTGTATATGGTGGTGGTGATGGGAACCAGACTTCCACCTCTAAAACCTCCCTCACAGAGAGTTATTACATTAAATACTTATGAATATATTGCCTGATACCTGAAGCATATTATTATTATTGATAATAATAATAATTATTATTATTATTATTATTGTTGTTGTTGTTGTTGTTATTATTATTATTATTATAACAATGATAATAATACTACTAATAATAATTATTATTATTATTATTATTATTATTACACTGATTAAATGGTTAAGATGTAAACAGAGTCATTCAGAGTGGTTTGGTGTGAAACGCTCCGTTCTAGAGAAACTTACTGAGTCAGAATTGTTCACAGTGGTGGTGATAGGAACCAGACGTCCACCTCTAAAAGCTCCCTCACAGACAGTTATTACATGAAAATCTTATGAACACATTGCCTGATGTCTGAAACACAGTTTTATGATAGTTTTCCGATAAGATTTTTGCTTTAGATGCAATTTTTTTAATCCATTCATGACGGAGGAGTAGACAGTGTCCAAAACAATTCAGGTCCTTTCCAGCGTTGACTGGCTGCTCACTCGCCATCACAGCACTGATGCTTCAATGGCAGCAAAATGTTTGGTTTAACAGTCCTACTTCTGGAGATGCTCTTTTCCAATTTGGTGATGCGCTCTTCCTCACATTAACTGAGATCTCACACATCTCCTCTTCTGTCTTCAGTGTGAGAAATAACAGTTCATTCTTTCCAACAAACTCTCACGAAATTGAGCAAGCTTTAAGATTTACAAATATGTTACGACATATTGTTCAGTTTTTCAGAGGTATCCGGGCGTGGTTACAGTTGCTAGGCTATGAAGGACCAACAGGATGATTTTCGGGGGAGTTTCCCTTTGACAGTAAGGTATTGTTTATATATAGCACCATTGCACCATACAGTAATTCTTGTTTTCAGAACAATGCTGTAATTACATAGTACTGTAGTCTACTGTAGATACCTTACTACTGACACAAGTCTCAAAAGCTACGTACAAGCCTCGTTGCTCAAATCCGATTTTTTGCTCAAATCCGATCTCTCTGACAGGACGGTTCACACTCGTTTAGGTAAGTGATTCAAATCTGTCATTAATGTGACGAACCGGCGTCCTGAAATGACCCTCATGCACACATCCTACTCAGTAATGTCACGTGAATGAATTACGAGCATCATCAGCACAAACTAACGAGCAGAACGAGCTTCGCCGAGGAGATAATTAACTCTGATCAGCTCTCAGCTTCATTATTAGAACGAGACGAAGGTGAAAAAGGTGAGATGAGCTGCTTTTCCACCGTTTACAGGCTTCAGCTTCTGTTCGGCGCTGCTGCCATGGTAATGGAATGGTGGTGCAAGCGCAGTGCAAAAAAAATGAATCTGAGCGTCACATTAACCACGAATCGGATACGCATCTGAGCTAGGACCACATATGAAAGTAGCTGTGGTCGGATGTGAAAAGATCAGATTTGTGTGTCCACACAGCCCTGAAAACATCAGATCTGAGTCACATTAGGGCAAATAATTAGATTTGTGCCACTTCAACCTGGTAATGTGAACGTACCCAAAGAAATATTACCTGTTGTTGAATTTCAACTAAATATAATTATTCAAAGCCAACTGTATGATCACACTATGAATCACACCATCGTTAAACTGTTTATCAAGCACATTATACACAAGACATTATGGCAGTCATGTGTATTTATACCAGTCTTTAAAATCACACAGCTGGCAGTAACTCAATGTCTGTTTTAATATCACACTATACTCCTAAATGGATGAACTACACTCCTAAAAAGATGGTTCTTCAAGGGTTCTTTAGTACAGAAAATGGTTCTATATAGAACCATGAACACTCAAAGAACCCTTTGTATAGTTCTTTGCACCATGAAAGGGTTCTTCAGATTGATGTGCTACAGAATGTGCCAAAGGGTTCCACTATGCTTACAAGCCAAAGAACCCTTTTTGGTACTATACAGAACTACTACACTCCTAAAAATGAGAGGTCAGCTCAACTCAAAATGATATAGTAACTGATTTCATGGCTTTTCTTTAGTTGACTCAACTTGAGTTCACACAACTCAAACTTCTTAGTTGAGTCAAAAGTTCTCTTAATTTTTTAGTTCTGCATCTCAGTGAGGAAAATAAAATGAACTTGTTTTTTTACATTACCCACAAGTCAGGTCTCTTTCCATCATACAATCCTGCTGGACATTTTTCCTCTTGGGTACTCACTTATGGATGGCTGTGGCATCGCTGGGGCTCAAACTCACAACCTCCTGTCGGGCTGACGGCTTAGTCCACTGCACCACTCAGGAACACATGAAGCAGCTCAGATTGTGTGTCTACAAATGTTTAATACACCGGAGAAAATATTAGTTGTTTTAACTTTAAAGCATGGCATCAACTCATGTGGTGCAACTGTCTAATAATCCATTCCCAACATCAGGAGGTTGTGAGTTTAAATCCCAGCAATGCCACAGCTGTTATATCTGGAAGCCCAAGAGGAAAATATGCCAGATAGGACTGTGTGATAGAAGGAGCGCCAGCTAGTGGAGAAACTGAGTAATAAATGCAAATTCAGTTTGTTTATCTGACTGAGACGCAGACCTAGAAACAGTAGCTGGGAGAGTTTTTGACTCAACTAAGAAGTTTGAGTTGGGTGAACTCAAGTTGAGTCAACTCAAGAAAAGCCATGTAATCAGTTACTATATCATTTTAAGTTGAGCAGACGTCTCATTTTTTACAGTGTAAGAGTGTAAAAGCTAACAAAAATAAAGATGAACAAAACCTCAAGGAATGCTGGGGAGATCCGGTGCTGCAATGTTCAGCTCCAAAGGCTAAAAGAATTAAACGTTACTTTCCCAATATGCTTTGCAAATGACATGCAAATTACCATGAAATCCAACATGTACATTTTTTTGACAAGAAACTTGACCCGTATCTCCCAGATTGCATCATTTTTTACAGTGATCTGTTGTATTTAAGTAATACAGCAGGTTATTGCAGTGTTTCTGCTGTAGATTTACGACAGTTGTTTTTTAAAATTAATCAAAAATATATACTTTTCACTTGTAAAACTGTCCATGATGAAAGCATATGCTGCTCAAAGCTGGATCACTTCAGTTACATCCTAGTACGCCAATCAGAAATGTGCCATTTCATTGTAATAAAGGTGTATTATGTGCTTAGATAAATACAGATTTTAAGGCTGCAGTACTAGAAATCTCCTAAAATGATGTAAATGAATATCCACTGGGATATTCATTTACAAGCACATAATAATAAAATGAATGTATTAATTAAAAATGTTTATGCAGCACCTTACAAAGTGAAGAACTAACAAACAGATCTGCAGAATTAGTTTTCTATTTAAAGGTACTATGAGGCAGAGGAAGACAACGTGACTGACTATTATGGTATGGATGAATGGAAATGTAGGATGTGCAGAAACACCTGTAATCCCTGGCTGGGTCATTATGATGTGTGCTCAAGCGAAAAAACAGAACACAAATTAACACAACAGTGAACCCAGCTACTTACATGTAGGCCTAGAGGAATTTATTGAGGGGATTCTGCCCCTCCAGTGCAAAAAATAAAATAAAAAAAGTTGAAACTATTAGTTTTATACTGTGGACAAGCTTGTTTTTTTTTCAGTCCAGCAGGGATTCACTTACAGCAATACCACCTACAGCAGGGCTGCCCAGAGTGTGTTCTGTGGGCCAAAGTTGGCCTGTAAGGACTGACTGACCTGCCAGAAAGTCAGAAAGTAACCCTATACCTAAATTAACTAGAAGAACATTAAAGTTTACACTGTGGACAAGCACAGTGAATGGTTCTTAAAGGACCACTCCTCTTGCTTTTCAAAATGTCTGCATAATTCACTGGTTGAGATGTACATCAGTCATTCAGAGCGGTTTGATGTTAATTTGTTCATTGTAGAGAAACAGGGGTCGCCATGACTACAACACAAATATAGGCATTTTATTTACTGTCCAAAACCACCAGTGAACCTACACATGTTTTCTGAGTTTTTATATGTGGTAAATCTGAAAAAAAAATTTTATTGGGTGCTCTAGCCTGCAGAGCTGAGAGATCTGTGACTGAAGCCCGAAAGAGTGCAGCTGATCACCACAGAGACCGACTGAGGCTCAACGTACTTCTCTCCAAATGTAAAATGTGTTTTGTTCCATTTCAGTTGAGTCATAACGGATCTGGAACTATTAAACACGTTTTAAGACACATGAGCTCTCCGGCAACAGGAAGAGAGCGATAAAACATCATAATCATCATAATCTGAAAATAAATAGTATGAGATCTGAAAAAATAAAACAGGATTTACAAACAGATAGTGTACACCCATCAGGCATAACATTATGACCACCTACTTGCTTCTACGCTCATTGTCCATTTTACTATATAGGTGCACTTTGTAGTTCTACAGTTACAGACTGTAGTCCATCTGTTTCTCTGATACTTTGATGAGCAATCGTCTCTCACTTTACATCTACAAGGTGGACTGACAAGGTAGGAGTGTCTA